ATTCTAAATTAATTCTTGATCAAACTAATTAAATAATATTATTAATATATTAGAACTTATAATATATTAATAAACCATAAGTGTTATTTCTCTCATTTTAGTTTATCCAATTGCATGGTGCCATGCAACCCAAATGGACCATGTCGGGTCGGGTCAAGTACATACCAGAAATAGTTATGGACTTATACACCTTATCCAACAGTTTGCTCCGACAATTTTTTCATCACGGATTCTTACTGTTTGGCCACTTAAAGTTCATATCGCTTTCAAATTAATCATTTGTGCATTTCAGTTTACTAACCATTAAAAAATGAAGAAGTTAAAAAGAAAACAAAACTCAAGATTAGATACTTTATGTTCAATTTTTCTTGTCAACCCATTGTTTACTTTGTGACCAAATGTCGTTATCCCACAACAATCCCAATCTTTAAAATTCAACATGTAGGTTTCTAGAATTTGTTTTCTTGATTCACCTTGTAAAGAGTATGTTGCATCACTTTACTTATCATTATAATTGATATTGAAGTCTTATACATTGTGTCCTCATAAGGTTTGAGAGCCAAGGAGGTAGATGAGTTGTTTCCAATTATAAATCTAAAAGCAAAACCGTCTTTAAAACCAAAGATCTTTGTAAACCAAAGTTTGTTTATAATTTTATCTTACTCTTTTTGAGACAATTTTTGAGTCGCGTAGTTGATAGGATCTGGTACCCTATTATATTTATCTTCAAAGGTACAACATGAATTATTAAACTTTAAGTGATATACGTGGTATCATCTATCTCAAATGACTAAGGTTATACATTGTCTAGGAAATCAATTCTCAATATCATGCGATAATTATCCATATACAATATTGTCAAGTCTATGGTGCCTTCCGATTATGTTACCTTAAGGGGTACTTTGTATGAAATGCTAAGGATATGCTTGAATAAATAGTTGATGACTTTAACCAAGCTTGGATTTGTGGTATATTGGATGCCTAACTTCCTAACTTCACATTCATTAAGGAAATTATGAGACGCATCTATATCTACCAATGCCTTGATGTATCCTCCATTCACATTGGCATCTACGAACATTAGTCTTCCTTTAGTCTCATTCTTTTCTATGAAATATAGTGCATCAATATCCCATTCACACTTTATTTCATTTTTGGAAGTTACAGCATTGCTTTCGGTAGACTTGTTCTGTTTCCATAGAAATGGGCTTAACAATCTCATTGGAAATCAGAACAACACCTTTTCTATTCCAATACTCAGTAAGGACATTATAAATCTTCATCTAAACAGAAATAACACTAACATTAGGCTTGCACAAGACCAACCTAGACCTCTATCTCTAAATGGAAATATGGACATTATTAATCAACCAAGGACCACCTTCACTCACATTCATCATCCCTTTTTTTGATTCGAACTTAAGAAGATGAATCCATCATCATTCACCAAAATAACATTTAATCCATAATTTCTACATTTTTCTTGCAAAATGATTTACTGGAAAAAAACGCAATAGAAACTAAGAGAAAGTATAGAGAAGGCGGGTTGGCTTTTCACATAGGAGAAATTACACACGCTAATTCATACAACACTTTTTATAACACTGCTTAAGAAGAAAATACACTTTGAGAGACTACAAACTTGGTTTTTGTTTGATTTTTCCTTATATGGGTTGGAGAAAATGAGCTCTAAACCTATTTATTAGGGTTTCCTAACATGTTACCTCCTCTTTGGAAGGTTTTAGAGCATGTACCAAGTTCTAGAACATTCTACTTGGTTCTAGAGAAGTCTAGAACATATTTGGGTCTTCCACGATCTTCTAGAATTTCTAATAACCTTCCATGGTCTTCAATGATGTTTTGGAATATTCTAGGATCTTTGGGTATGTTCCAGAATCTTTCATCATGTTCCAGAATGTTCCAAAGCATTCTAGAACATTCAAACATATTTTAGCTAAAGGACTCAAATATATTAAGCTAGTGATGACCCTTCAACGTATACATTTAACATTTAACATTTAACCTAGCAACCTGACTAAAAACCAACATAAAATTGGAAAAACAGAAAAAAAAAATTATTTACTAAATCTAAGGTTGTAAAAAGCATTCGATGTTAGCTAATCGGTAGACCGAGGTTAATGGATTAATAGGTTAGACGATAATTAAACAAGGATCCTAAATTGCTAATTCGTTGAATTTTAAAAATTAAATATAATTAATATCATAACAAAATAGGTTAATATGATTAATACAACACTAATTATTCCTCAAATAGTTTGTATTGAGATATAATTTCTTCAAAGTGTTAAAATTCCATCTTTTTCTATTGCTTTGCTTATTGTGTAGGCAATGATTAATCGTTAGACGTTTTCTAGTCAGTTGGGTAGCGCCTAAGGACTAATCAGGAACTAGTCAGAATTTTTACAACAATAAGAAAATCATGCAAAAGCTCATAGCACATCATACCACTTGAGCTTATAGTATTTCGTTTCCAATAGAAACACATAAGTAAATGAGCGGATCATCATTTAATATATGCCTTTAAACAAATAGGAAAATAAAAGAAAAACAAATATTTCTTTTCCAAAGCGTAGACTACGAAAGAAATTAGAGGGAAAAGAATAAGAGAATTGCAAACTATCTAGAATCCTAGATGATGAAGTCTTTGCAAAAATCTATATCAATTACCTTAAATGAGCAAAAATAATGAAAATGTTTTCAACTTAAAAGTTGATTTGCATTGTTGTCATCACTTTATAACATCTTATTTAGACATTTAGACAATTAGGTGTGGACAACATGTTATTATATGTTATCACACCTAAAAGGTGTCACGTCATCCTTCTATTCATACATTGGTGTTATAACACCAAATATGGAAATAAACAACACCAAATAACATGTGATAACACCCCTTATTTTCTTTTTTTATTTTTGAGTTTTTTAATTTCTATTTTTCCAATTTGTTATATTTTCTTTGTTTTTTTATTTGTGCCATAATAATTATAAAAACATATAAATTAATAACGCATATAATTTAGTTAAATCCTAAATTAGAAATAACATTTAAAAACTAATAATGACATTACAAAGGGAAAAAAACATTGAACAAAAACATACGATAGTCCTAAATTAAAAAAAAACATAAAACCGATACACTATTCGTTGCCCAAATATTTCCGTTCGATATTTGCCTTCATTTTTCGGAGCACTTGCACTTGTCTCTATGGCATATTATCCTCGCTGGGGCGAAGAATTGTCAAATCCTTCGTCATACGATCTTCCTCGGCTTCTTTACGTAGGAACTCCAAAATGCTCACGTTGCAAGTCATATCTTTTAATTGTGATGTCGTTGGTGGACGACCAATTTTTGTTTCAGTTCTGCGTGCTCTCGAAGTCTACTTTCGCTTTCATCTGCATGTCGTTGTGCCCGCTTCGTCTTGTCACGCCATATCGGTCGTTAAGGTGGGGAGATCTCTTCGATGTCGTTGAGGTCGTCCGGGAGCTCATCGGTGTCGGTATTGAGGTCGATGTTTATGCATGCATCGGAAATGTCGATCGAACCCGAGCCGTGATACCTCTTTGATTGTTGTTCCGATGATGTTGGTGTTTTAAACCATTTTGGGTCGTCCTTAACAATCTCCCAAAAAATTTCGTGCTCGAAAACGTGATCCGTCTCGACGTGATATTGCTCCCTCGCCGCTCTAAAAACATCGAAATCGGTCGCACCACTTTGCTTGTGCGATGAAAGTTTGTTGTAGATGGAATTGAACTTGCTGTACTTCTTAGTGATTTGAGTCCACTTGCCACTCAACATATCATGATTGCAATATGTGTCATCCTTCTTCAAGATTGCACGAAATTTGTCGATCACAACTTCCCAAAAAGCGGTTTTTCTCATATTGTTTCCTTTAGTTGGGTTTTATTATGTCTCACACTACGGCACCGCCAACGCATATATTCTTCCTCCGTTGTCCACCATGTTGGAGGTTCTTCTTCTGATTGCTTCACCGTGACTGCGACCTCTTTCCCTTTCCTTATTGCTCTCCCTTTCTTGGCCGTTGGTTTCCGACTACCCCTCGCTTGCGTCTCGGGAACTGTTTGTTTCATGGATGGTGGTTGTATGGTTGTTTGTGGTATGGAAGAAAAGGGGTTGAAAAGGTTTTGTGTATGAAATTGTAGTGAGAGTGAGGTGAGATTGAAAAAGTTGTTGGAAAATGGTAGTTGTGGTGAGCTTTGCGAGTTGAGGATGTTTGCGTACGCCTCATATTGTGCAAAACTGAGAGGAGGGGATGTGTTTGTGTTTGGAGGAGTGTTTGGATTTTGATCCATAGTCGGTTGAATGTGAATTGAAATTGAGAGAAATAAATGTATTGTGTAGGTAACCCTTCTCAGTTACATGTGTATTTATAGTAGAGTTAAAATGTAAAAAAGTTTTTATTTATTTATTTATTTATTTTACTTTGTGACTGTTTACCAACGGTCTAAAATGTGACCGTTTCTCCCAAAAATCAAGCCACAAAACGACACTACCTCTTGTTGCGAACTTGCCATGATAATGACGACCACCATAACACCTAATAATACGCCCTGGGACGGTGTTTAAGCCATCATGGCAACGTTTTTTAGGTGCCGATCACGATAACGCATTCGGGCGTTGTGCATACCAAGCAGTCTTGATAAAAATTAATATAAAAAACTTTTAAGCCGATTAACTATTGAAAATGTAATAGTATAATTACTCAGATATTTTCAAACAACATATATTGTCAATACTTTTACCATACACTTTTATTTGCATTATTCTCAACATACATTGTCATGATTTTCACCATACAACTTCATTCGTGTGCAACATACACCTAATAGAAAACAATTCCGAGATTTAATTGCCATATAGTGACATTTTCCACAAAAATAAAATTAGTTAGTTTTTGGAAACATAAAATTCCCAAAAATTTAAGAGTTGAGTGAAGAAGAAAAAAAAATTACAATGTAAGTTTAAAACCCAACCCATTCCTTCAAAAAGCCTTTGCTCATGACATGAAAATCAAGAAAATAAAAACAATAAAAAATTCTCTTTAAATAATAATGCACTCTAATTATATTCCCTATCTCTTAAACACATTTAGTCACTATATTCCATGAGAAGAAACAAACCAAGCTAACACAAGCTACAAGAATGACAATATAAAGAATAAATTATAGTTATTCTTGTAATGTTTTCTTGGATAAAGCATAAGTTAATAATTTAGCACGCCGCTCATTATAAGATGCTGTACAATGAATATCAAATTATTAATAACATAACATAACATAACATATGATTATTATAAGTTAAAGGAGCCAAATAAGAAACTAATTAATTGATTACAGAAGGGACTTACGCTCAGTAGGACGTGACATAAGAGGAACATGAGAAGAAACTTTCTTTTTCGTCTTACTTGTTATACTCACATCTGCACACATGAAAAAATATCACCATCTATATATTCTATTATAGGAAGGAAGGAAGGACCAACAGATGATGAGATGAGGCAGACAAGGAAGGGCATTTATGTCTTTTGCATATAATATAATATAACTCAAAATGTTATGTTAAGAGCACCAATACCATCTTGAATGGTTGAAAGATTAAGCAGAGCCTGATGGAAAATTGCAGCTTGGAGTTTGTATGTCTGGCATTCCTTCTCTAAATGCAACTGCAATGCTCGCCTGGAATCTGCTCTCAAAAGTCAAAATATAATTCAACAAATTTCAATGAAGGGATTTTATTTTATAAACTAAAAAAGTAAGTACCTGAGGAGCACATAAAATTGAGACCTTCAAATTCACAAGATCGAAGAACTAATGGAATCTCTGGAGCCATTTTGTATTGAGGTTTCCTAGGCGTCTTTTCAACATCAAGCAAAGCATCCACAACCTAAACAAGTTTACATATACAAAAAATTAAATTAAATTAATGTCATTCTAAATTAAACAAAATTCAAATCAATAAAAGTTACGCACATCGGGTGATTCAAGACCTTGGCCAATCAAGAACAACACAGCAACCATGCAACGAACCTGGTGCCACAAGAAAGCACTGCCTTTGATTCTCATAAACCACAGCTCATCACTGTAACCCAAAAAGAATAAATAACAATAAACATTTTTTATTTTTTTTTAATAATCTTTTTGGATGTGTTTGAATTCAAACCTTCCATTGCAAGGACATATATCGAATGATGTTATACGGCGCTTGTAATTATGCACATTCGCAGCATCCATCTTACAAAAATTCCTAAAATCATGTTCCCCAATCAGCCTTTTACATGAACTCTCCATTTCCTGATTTTTTTTTTTTTTTTTTAGAAAAAATTGTTTCATTATTCCAGCAGCAAGACCAAGACATAAATTACATTTATAAGTTAGCATACCAATATGTTTAAATTTTCCCTCCAAAAGAAGTATCTGTATTCCCTACTCAGACAACTAAACCTGCAAACAACCAAGCCACAATGAATCAATCAGCCTTTTACTTTTACAAATAAACTCATAAAAATTAAAAATCTACTACTAAATAGTAAATACATATATATATAGTTGATTAAAACTCAAAGATACAAATTTGGAAAACAAACCTTGCACTAAAATTATCAGGAGCAGGACACCAGCCCATCACTCGAATATCATTTGGGAGAGCTCCATTCAATATTCTTACATAATCCAGCTCTTCCTCTGAATACACAAAAAAAAAAAAAAAAAAAAAAAAAAAAAAAAAAAACAGACTATAAGGTCTAAACTATTTAAATAATTTAGGGTTAAATAGCAACATACTTCTGATTATATGTTAATTTCTTCCCATTAAAACATTATACTTTGAAAAACCTACCTAAATACAAAAAAAAAAAAAAAATAACAATTTTCACTGATATATATTTTCAAAGTACAATGTACTAATAAGAAAAATGCTGTGTAGAAATTTATCACAAAGAAATGTAACTGACCCTCTGCTCTTTTGTCTACAAATTCCTCAGAGGTATTGCCTCCATGTTCCTTAAGCTTTGACCTCAATAGTAAAGCAACAACCTATGCCAAAGCCAAAACAATTATCATAATTGAAAAATTAAAACATGTGAATTTATTTTCTTTCAGCTATAATAATAAATTAAAAAATTGTTATCTACAATACCAAACACTAAAACCTAATTATGATAGCAGTCACATAATGCATCCAAAATCCAAATATAATTAGGTTTTAGTGTTTGGATAAAGTGATTTTGATTTTTTTTATAAAAGAATAATTGAAGCATATGAAACTTACTTCTTTTTTCAACTTACTTGCCCTACAGAAGAAACACCCTTGTCTGTTCTACCACATCTTGAATATTGCAAATCCTTCTTGTCACCAAGTACAAGTCTCGTCTTTTCAAGTGCTTTGAACAATTCAGACTGAAACAAATAATACAAAATCATGTCAAATTAGTTGCACATACTATTTTATCAAAATTCAAGTTAGGTTGATCATTTAGACTTCCAATTTAGGTTGGATCAACACAGGGGTATAATGGTCTTTCTGTATTAAAGTGTGGTGGTTATCATTTACGTTTTTACTTGTACTTTCTCTCTACAGAGAACCTTACCCTAAACAGGGGAGATTGAATATAATTTCTCCTTTTCTCTACCCTAATCCTGTAATTTCTTGATCCAAACTGTATCAAAATCCACATTTAAATACTAACTAAAATACTAACAAGTACATTAAGTCAAAGATCCACAAACCTACCTCCACAGTTGGCTCCATCTGAGCTTCTGATGCAAAACCATAGAACCTGACATGTTAGACATGGCAAGTGTCAACACTCAATAACAACATACATAAAGCCACATATGGCAATTTTAGGCTTTGATATATGAGTACAATAACAAAGTCACTAACTAAATGTCTGTATAGTGTATATAACTGATTGTTTTTAACTTTTTAATACCCTTTGTCATATATATACATACAATTAACCAAAAAACGAATGATGTTACAATTTTAGGGTTAAATGCAGGAAATAAAATGTGTTCTGTTTATCATAGCAATGTCATTTTCTTCCTGTTACATTTTGTAAAAATCTACCCAATTATAGCAATGTCATCCAAATAAGAAAAAGAATAGAAGAAGTATTATGCGATAATTGGGTAGATTTTTCAAAGCATAATGCTTTAAGAAAAAGATTGAAACTACAATGTTGTCTTAGAAAGTAATGGAAGTAGGATGCTATATCACATTAATAAATTGCAGCACATTGTGATTTCTTGCATTTAAAAACATGTTATTTACAACCTTCTATGCAAGTCCTTATTACACATTGTAGAATCATAGCTAGTAAACTACTAAAGAGAACGAGTTACATAAAAGCAACATTTTCATACCTTTGACCAAAATACATAATTTTCAGAGCCACAAGTCTCTGTGAGTGATGATTCATGGGGTTGAAGCTATAACCTGTAGAAAAGAGTGCATTTCATTAACAAAACAGTAGTAGGTTATAGTACATAAATGCTAGTAACAAAATGTCTTCTCAAAAGTCAACAAAAGTCAAAGCAAAGATACACCTGACAGTCTCTTCTTTGGTTTCCTTTTTCCATTTTCAACAGAGTTTCCTTGCTTCAACTTTTCCATTTTTTCAGCCAACATATTTTTGTCTGACAGATGAGAATCAAAATTCTCCTCCACCTGCACAAGGGTGAAAAAGGAACTTTCAATCTGCTGTTCTTACAAATACTTAGTAAGATGGATGGCAATGGCACACGTGTGTAAATATTATATATAAGAAAGGGTGCAAAACGACAATGACACTTTATAAAGTCAAATGGTTATTAAAGGTCAAATTAAGTCGATTGGGTTATTAATTAACCACTTGATCTCACCTATAAATAGAATTCATGATGTACCCCTTGTTTGGTTGTATAAAGCAATAAACTGGAAATGAATTTTCTTACCATGTTTATCTTTCTCAAACATCAATCTTTTACAATAATACCATTATGATTTACATATTTATTTATCATATAATGTATTTTTGGTATTTCTAATATTTCGTTTTCTCAATTATTTTTTTATAATAGTCAATTAACATATATATCTTATTTATATTTTACGAAATAGATCTTGCATTTGGAAACACAATTCTGATATAAAGAAGTAACTTACAAATAGATCCAAATATAAAGAAATCCCAACAGCATATTACTCCAAAACCATGTTCAAGAAACGAGGTGCAAAATATTAAACAAAAGTAAATAAAACATAACCAACAACCAATTAAGCTATTAAGCCATCCCCAATCATTTCTATGTAACACTCCTTTCCCTCTTCATTCAACTGAAAAAACAAATGGGCACGTAATTGATCTCTGCTAATGATGTCAATCGCCTTAAGACAATGTTTAATATTGACATTTTGCAAATAACGCATCTCTTCCAAAACTTTGTCACTCATATCACATGCCTCCTTATTTTCTCTGCTTCCTATATTGTTAATGGTCTCATTAAGTTTATCACCAAACTTTTCCAATTTCTCATTTATGTCTTTTGATGCCTTCAAATAAAAGCTACCAACTTCAACACTTTTGTTTCTTTTACGTTTACTGGTGACACTAGCAGTTGGTCCTTGAGACATAGGAACATTCCCAAACCCTTCAACATCAATAGGTGAAGTTTTTTTTGTCTCTTCAGCAACATCTTCTTCTCCAAGATCAATAGCCTGATTACCACTAGCTTTATCCTTACTGAAGATTGTACAATGTTTGTTGCAATGCATAAATGGTTTGTCGCGAACACAAGCAGCACCTTTATGAGTCTACATGAAAATTACAAAAATAAGTTGGATTTGTTTTCTTAAGGCTATACACTTTGAATGTACTTTTTCGCTCTACCAACATGGAGAATGGAAATGCTGGAAATTGAAATCATTTTTTTTTTGTATTTCTTCATTCTTGGTGTTAAACAAACAAGTGAAATGGAATGAATTACATTTCTCTCACTCCATTTCTCTGTACCAAACGCACCCTAACATTAGAAATCACTTGGAGGTCGTTTGGGAGATCAATCACAAGTGAAATTCATGAAGAATTTAAGAACTAATGGAGGGTTTTGGGTAGTTTTTTTTCCATACTTAGGATTCTTGGTAAAAATGGGATTAATAGGATGATTAATGGATGGTTATAATGTTAAAACATTGTAATACTCGTTTATGAACAAGTATTGGTTCCCTAATCAAGAAAATGGGTAATTAGGATCATACTTATTGATGTTATGGAGGATATCACGAACTGGGGAAGAAGGTGATATGCTGGTGTTGCATAGCTTTACATTTGTAACATGGAAAGTCGTGTAGATTAAACTTGGTCATGGGGTGATGAACAGTAGAAGTAGGAAGGAGATATACTTGAATTCATTGTACAAGAACGAGGTGAGTACATGTTATTTCTAAAACGGATCACACATCAAATGAATCATTTAACAAATGAGCACACATGTCATAGATTGCATCCATATGTTTGCATGAGTTCCATTTTCTTGAGTCTTATATGAGCATTGTTGTATTTACAAGTTGTATCTTGATGGGCATTGAAGATATATGTATTGCATGTTGCATATGTAGAGAGCAACTGTGAGATAAAAACAAGTCCCTGAAGCTCAACTAAATAAGAAATTCCCAGAAACTCGTTCCTAGTCCTACGCCTACCATCACCAAGATTCTTATTCTTACTGCCTCAACTTAGATTAGAGATAAACTTGTTTTGAGTAACTTGAAAGATCCCAGAATTCCAAACTATCTTGTGCTTGTTTTATATTGTGCATACCCAAAATTATGCAAAAGCACTAGTTGTAAAAGAGTTACCATTCTTTAATATAAAACTAATACATTCATATCAATTTATGAACTCAAGGTTTTTGCAAAGTAGCTTCACACTTTATACTGATGGAATACTTGCAATTTATATGCTAGGAATCCTAAGATGTGTCTACACATCTTTTACTTTGAGAAAAACTAATTATGACAGCCACAACTTGTTACTTGTTTGCCATTGCAAAGAGCAAGCAAAACCTGATCATATTGTTTAAAATGCCTATACCAAATTAAATCCTTCAAACACCTTTAAATTGAACTACTTTGCAATTAAAAAAAAAAAAAAAAAAATGAAAACTTGTTTCGCCTCCAGTGGCAAGGATTTTTCCCTTTTCGGTTGTCCTAAAAGAACTACGACTTGCAGATAGAACAAACAAACAAAAAGGAAAGAGAAAACGGTCGTAACGAAACCGAGGGCTAACCTTGTGGCAGATACAACTAGAAACAAGTGATGCTAATTTCGCATGCGCTGCTTCCAGTTCCTGGCGATGAATCAAAAAAATTAAAAACGAATACAGGTAAAAAAAACTAAAATAATACATCGAAATACTAAATCAATGTACCTTTACTCTGTTTTCACTAGAAGACAACTTAGACCTTAACTCTATGATGAGCTCACTTTGGTTCTCCATGGGAAGGATGCTCGGAGGCTCGTTTTCTCCCTATTTTCCTTCCCTCTCTTTTTGCAGCTCAAGTGTTTGACAAAATGCGAGAGCGAGGCTTAAATGAATAAATGGGTACTTGTAAAAGTTTCGCAATTCCAAATTCGATTAAATTACATATTTGATCCTTTCACTTTGAAAAAAGTATATATTAGCTTAAATTACATCTTTTATCCTTTCACTTTTGAATTACAAAAGTTTTATTTCTTCCCACAAATTTATTTTCCTTTTCATTTAATTCTTTGTTTTTTTTTTCAGGATAGAAGTCGTATTTTTTAAAACTGTAAAAAATATAGTCATTTTGTTAATTACATGGTTTAAAATGGTTAGTTTTGTTAATATCTCTTTAATAAATTAATAATACATGTGGTCACATGCATCATATAAAAAACAAACATATCCATATCCGTAATTATATTGATAAATATTGATAGATACTCACACATCGTAAAAGTCTCAACTCCTTAAAGATGATTTTTCGAGTATTATCGAATTATTGTTTAAAAAAATCAAATTGGAAGTAGAAGATCTAATATTAGCACATAAAGTCTGGTTTGATCTAAATCATTCTCATTCAATACCAAACTTATTCATTATGAATAAGATAATTAAGTGTTCTTGATTATCATAAATTAATCATAAAAAATATATTGTTCCATGTTTGAGTTGATCTTTGCTTGTGAATCGGTTTTAAAATTATCTAATATAAAATTTTATCCGAATTCGAGATTTGGTGTATTACAATCACGACTTAGAGTATGTGTGTCAAAATTAGTTGTCAGCTAGAAATTGTAGTTTTTATTTATTTAAAATTACTCAACAAAAATAATTGTAAGTTTTTGTAACAGGTCAAATGAAAAATTATAAAAAACTAAAAACTTTAAAAAAATTCTTAAAAGCTACCGGAAGTAGTTTTATAATTATGAATTTATTATTTAAAATAAAACTTTAAAATAATCCTAAAGGAAGTTTTTCCTTTGAATTCGAGTTTTTTCTACAAGAAATTAAAAGATCCTAAAAAATCTCTACAGCTCATTGCCGAACATATCCTTAATTCCACCAATTTTCTATGTTACCGATCATTTTTTATTTTAGCAATTTAATTAAAAAACATAAATCAAATCAACTAAGGAACAGTTAAATTTGTTAAAGAAATGTGTTTGTTTCATATCAAATTCACCTTGCTCATACAGTTACCTACATAACATTTGGAATCCTTTATTCCCGGTTTTTCCAAAACTTTCTGTTCTCAACTAATACTACAAACGATTCAATCATCATCGCTCGGATTCAAGAACGATGCCCATTCTCCAAAACTTTGTTGTTGAAACTAAACGATGAATCCAACCAGCCTTCCACTTTAGCCCTTTCAACAAGCGACCCAAATTGCTTCTTAGCATCGGGCACATCCAAACTCAAATCATCAAGCGATTCCGCCACTCTCCCAAATCCTTTGGTCATCTGAATCGGAGTTATCAATCCGCTGTTAAAACACTCCTCGAGCAACTTCCAAAGCCGATCATTCTTCTTCTCAATAATCGTCACCAACGACTTCTTCACAACCTCATGATGATAGAATGGCATCCCCAATTCCGATATACACCGACATGCTTCCCGTTTATCCCCACCCGATTCAAACTCCTCCAAAAGCTTCCCGATCTGATCCTTCACATCCTCAATCGCCCACCCGTTCGTGTAACTCCCGCCACCTCCCCAACACCGCAAGATCCGCTCCCCGGAAAGCCGCGCGTTCAGAAGAGACCGCGCCATTTTCAACACCTTGTTTCCGACGGAATCCGGCCGTAACGAATCGCCGCCGATCTCCTCCAAATGTAGCGGCGCTAAAACATCATCCACCACCGCGCGGGCCAAAAACATGGCGAGATCCTCCACCACCACCGGAATGTCAAGGGCGATATCGTCTGCGGAGTCAATCAACATCGTGAATCCGTTCACCACGTCATCCGCCGGAAAATATAAAGAAGACAACAAAACCGACGCCATTTCCTTTTCCCGTTTCTTCCGGTCCATCGCCAACATAATCAACCGCTTCACGAAAACCGCTTTCAACTCCGGAATCGAAGAAAGGTTTTCCGATTCCAAACAACTATTTACCTCCAACACATCCCCCGTCAAAAAATACTCTTTAATTATCGATTGTGCTTTCGCTTTAAACGCTTTCACAATACTGTCTTCCACCAATTTCTTTTCGGGGTGAAACGAGACCGCTTTTAATGACGACGCGCACAACCACCCTTCAGAAGCCGCCTTCGAGATCAACGACTGTAAAAGTTCCTTCGCGTTCGGTATATCAAGCGACAAATCATCAACCGTGTCAATAATTCGTGTGAAACCTTTTGAAATTTGGCTCGAATTTATCAAACATTCTTCCGAAGCGGTTTTCAACAAATCTAGAAGCTTCCCCTCAGCTTTTTTCCGTTCCATCGCCATAATAATCACGCGTTTCACAATCTCATGATGAAAAAAGGGGACTTTCAAATCGTTAATACATCGGATTGCTTCTTTTTTGTCCCCACTCACCGCGTACTCAACCAACAAATTATCGATTTTCGCTTTCACATCCTCCACGGTTTTATTCCGACTGCCACCCCACCGCCGCTCGATAATTTCCGCGTGAAGTGGGGCCGACAAATACCCTTTGTCGGCTCGTTTAATTATGTCTATGCCCTTGGACCCGCCCGGCAAAGCCTCCATTTCCTTTTTCAAGAATGCGGGCGGGAGTATGTCGTCTACGACTGCCCGAGCTACAAACAACGCGAGAACATCGACCGTGTCTGGAATATCAACGATCAGATCGTCTGCAGATTCTACAAGCTTCCGGAAACCTTTGTAGACTTGACGCGGATCGATGACGTCAGCATAGAGAGAGGATAAAAGAACAGCCGCCATTTCTTTTTCTTTATCGTGTCGATCCATAGCCATGGAAATGAGTTTCTTTACAAAATAGTAGCTGTAACTTGGCATTTCAAGGTCTTTTAATTCGTTTGCAGTTGAGATCACATCGTCAGTGGCAAAATATTCTTCCACTATGATTGCAGCCTTTTTCTTGTACCCCTCAAATCTCGGACACACTTTTTTAATACCTGTTTTATCCTTCTCCTGAAAAGATTATTGAAACTATGTTGCTATTATGGGTAAAGAAATGTAAGTATGTTGCTATTATGGGTGAAAGAAGACGATAGACGTACCTCACTACTACTATAGTTTGGGTCGTTACTATCAACAAAGTGATTATCATCCATATCGAGTATTCCTCCCCATGTTCCCTTCCCGCCACAACCACCTGTCGTTTTTGGAAGAAAAGAATACATCAAAATTTATTTATAAAAAGGAAGAATGGAATTTCCACCCTCGCATGGAATTCAAAGGATTCCAAGCGTCCGTTTGGCAATCAAATATGAGATGGAATGGAATTGTGAATTCCAATTCCGCCGGGTTCCGTTAAACGTGGTACCTTTCTTGGGACGGCCATCAGTTCCGGAATGCGAATGGCGGTCGTTTTTCCTCGGGCTAATTCCTTTGACCGCGCTCCCTTTGGTTGGGCTATCTTTTCCATGACGAATCTTTGGGGATCTTGGTGATTTTGGAGATGTGGAAATCCTCAATGAAGGATCCCCACTTTCTGAAGCAGTGTGAAGTTGTTCCTTATGCTCACTCGACTTGTACCCTTCGCTCATATCCATTTCTATTTCTTAAATCATAATAAGGGAATAAATTTTTTTGGAAATGGCTGAAAATTGGAACCTCCCCTCAAGAATCTTCAGCCACACCTACACCGAGTTCCTGCAGAATAAAAACGTTTAGACAGAGGGTTCACATATCCCTCTAAATTGTTCAAAAATTAAACCACATATTGTTAAGCCAGTTAACTAAATGCAGGTTTTGCACAAAAATAAATAAATAATAAAAGAATGTTGTAAATCACGATTTCCTATCAAAAATCAAGAATGAAACAAGACACGATTCCGATTTTGATTTTTTGATCATTCATAGTAAAATATTTAGAGAACCAATAGAGGTGGTGATAGAGAACTGATTATAGACATAAATGTAAATTTATCTAACTATTTCTAACTTTTAATCAACTATTAATCTGGTTATCAGATTATGATTCATCAATTTGAAAACGCATACCCAAACACTACTCTAATCGTTCAAAATCAAACGACAGATTGTTACGCCATTGAAAAAAAAATACAGGTTTGTACATAAATATAAGAAAAGAATGTTATAAATCAAGATTCCCTATAAGAAAAATAGAGAGGTATTTAAGCAAGCATCGAGATTACGATCGAAACAATAACTCCACTGAAATTCTTTCGAGTTATACAACGGTGAACATCTTATCAATAACTACAGGTTTGTGTGAACTCTCGATTCGCCCAAAATAACTTTGCATCAGCACTAGATGATTCAAGTCAAGAATCCGATTTTGAAACCATATACTACGATTAATCAAACCGCAGATAGAAAATCACATAAAAATCCAAGGTGTTGAGACCTGAATTACCTGCTTATCGACGATAATCGATCAGAAATTTCTTGAAATAGAACACGGGTGTGGCAGATTATTTGTTGATACGATCGATTAACCCCTTAGAATCAGATAACTGATGTCAAAAACAGATCTCAACTAAATTTGTCCGCATAAAAGAGAAAAGAAATTGAGAGGGGAAGTTGGAGCGTAGGAAGAGATAAAGAAAAAGGTGAATTACATTTTCAAACAAGTAAGAGAAAATACCGGGCATTGGAAAGGGGAGAGAATTTGAGACACGAATTTTCCCCAAAGATTAAGGAAGGTAAAATTTGTGGCAAAATTTAGCTACTTTCCCCGACTAACAAGAAAATTATATTAATTGGATACTTTATATATCCGGTCATGAACAACAACATTGTAATTGCAATGAGTTTAAAAGTTGAAACGAATCAATCTTTTAACAAATTTAAAAAAATGATTCGTTTTGGTTTTGAATAATCAAATTCTTACATATGATTCGTTTTGTTTTTTTACCATGGGAACATGATGATATTGAGGGTCTTGTAAAGACTTTAGTTGCTGAACTACTCAGGCTTTATGAGGCGACTAAAGAGTGTATGGCTTCGACCTATAATTTGCCATATTCGAAGTATATGTGAATTAGATTATGATCCCGATGAACCAATCGTCATATATGAAGATAACATTGTTGTTATTGATCAAATAAAACATGATTACATCAAAGAGGATACTAGTAAACACATCTCACCAAAATTGTTCTTTACTAATGAACAACAAACATTTCAAAAGATTAAAGTGCAACATAATGGATTAGAGAATAATCATGTAGATTTGTTCACCAAGTCACTATCAAAGTATTCATTCAAAAAACATGTCATAGCAATTGGACATAAGAAGCTTTATAAGCTACCTAAACGACATGTCATGCACAAAGTTGTGTGGAAGTAAGGATTATATCATCATGTATACTTAGCACCCTGTCGAGTGCATGTAAGGGGGGCATTCCGACGAATGTTTGTGTACTATTTTTATCTTTAGTTCAAGGATTTTGTCTCATGGGGTTTACCTTGAAAAGGTTATTTTTAATGAGACAGAAAGTGTATCTCATTTTTACTAAGGATTGATGAAATAAGAGGGAATATTCGGTTGAATATCTTTAACCATTGTAACCATTGTGTACTCATTTGTCCTTTGTTTAGAGTTTTTGTTTCACTAGGTTTTATTTAATAAGGTTTTAAGGAGTCATAGGTTATTTTTCTTCGCTCAACACATCCATATCGTATTCTTTTATCAGTCAACGATAGTTTTTGTCTCAAAGGGTTTTCTCCGGCAAGATTTTTAACGAGGCAAATGTTTGATGTATTGTTTGAAGATACGAGAGGGAGAAGTACAGATGTGATTTAGTGTATATCTAAGCACCCAATAGGGAAGTGTTGTAGCTCATAGTATACCAATGGTTACTTATATTTAAGTCTTTCATAAGTTAGAGTTATGTATAAAAATCATACAACCTTTGGTTCATCTAACCTATGTCATATATATAGCGGGGGATTCTTATATATTTTTGTAAACACTTATATGATGAATGAAAATATTAGAATCAATCATTGAGTTGAGCTTGTATACACACACAAATATATATATATATATATATATATATATATATAATATATATATATATATATATATAAAAGTTGAAAAAATGAAAAGAATCATTGAAAATGACACAGATGTAATTTAATAATAAAAATAATTGTTATATTATGTTAATTTAATATAATATATATACAAGGACTGCTTTTGTTCACCATTTTCTTTTTTAAACTAGCCTAATGCGTCAATTTTTTGTTAAATCAGTTTCTTTCAAACCGGTGTGGGAGGAACCGAACCGGTTTGCAAAGGTTCACATAATTTTATTGAAGAATCGGTTTGAAACCGAACCGATTTAACCTTGAACCGGTGTTGACCATTTTGACTAGAAGCGAACCGGATCGAGAAGAAAACCGGTTTGTGTGCGTCTAGGTAATCGCCACTTACCTTTCGGATACATACTAAAAAAGTAACATTTGCATTTTTAGAAGTCGACTTAAAAGGTAGTTAGGTTTGTTTTCAAAGTAAATATGTCTATTATTATATTCAGTTATTCTAAAGTTATAAATATAAGTTGCTATAACAAAATAATCAATATTAAAATAGTTTGATCTTTTATTTAAAGAACGCAACATTTCTTGTTGCAACTCGTTATTTGCCTTTAAATCCAATAGATAAAATTTCACCAATGGTAATAATGTTTTTTAATTTTTCTATAAGATAGTTCTTATGAAACATTTTTATATGGATAGTCCATTTGAAACAAACCTGACACACTAGTGGTCTCTTTCGACAAAACTTAGCACATCAACGGTTCTTATGTTGGATGTTCGTTTGACATTGTTAAAAAAAATAAGGGTTGGGGCCATATAAAATTACCAATATATCATTAATTATTATTTTTTTCAAAAATGATATATAATTAAAGAGAAAAAGATAATTGGGGACAAGTTTTCCCCACCCGCCATCAACACATTCTCCCTATCTACCAGGATACCGGTCTAACAGATCACAACAGTAATAAAGCAGGATAACAATCCAAAGGGCCGACCTTGGTGCATTCGAACCTTGAGTATAGTGAGGAAAACCCACCTCACAATGTCGAACTGAACTGAAAACCTCCGATTGTTGACTCACCGAAAATCCCGAACTATCACAATAAATGAACACTAATCAACCGTTGGAATATTAATCTTGTCTAAGGGCCCAAACATAGGGTAATAGTCCATTTTACCCTTTCCCTAATTTGGCCCAAGGCCCAACTCTAAATCCTTGATCCAAAGGTCCAAATATACAATGCTCATAATTGGCCCAATTTTCCAAATTGGGCCTAACTCTTTAATTGGGCCTCGTCCTAAGGTCCATTTCCATAATTGGCCCAAGACACTTCTATTCAGAAAGTCCAGCAAGGGCCCAAGTCAAACTGTCCCAAAGGTGGCCTAAATTCGAAGCCCAACTCGCAAAAACCCATCATAGGGCGTACGTTGGGCGTACCCCGAAGCTACGTGGGGCGTACGCGAGCCTTGCGTTGATTGGAAAATGGGGACGTTAACTACGTACGCGGGGCATACTGCTCTCTACGTAGGGCTTACCCTCGTTGTATTCAAAACTCCAATAAAGTGCTTAATGGCTTAAGCACTTAAGCCCAAATTCCAGATCCATTGACCAAATGTGTCTCAGAACCATAAAGTCTCAAACTTTAAGACTTTGGACATCCAAAAAGTCCTTAATACATGGTCTCAATCCATTAAGACCTTCCTACCAATTGCATGGGACATTTCTAGCCATTGGGACTTCATTTTTATCACTTAGAATGGGACTTTATGGGACAAAAGAATGCAAATAAGCTACCAAGGATAGATCTAGAAGAGTGATGCAAAAATTAATAAGCAGTAGTTAATCCTACTAACGTGACTAATTATTTCCTAAGGTAGTGTACCTTGTTGAAGATAGTATAGCACACTAGACAGGTATCGAACACAGGGAACGGTGTTTTAGCTAATTTTTATCTACTACTAATTAATTACTAATAAAATGGAAAAGTGTTTTTCTCTAGTTTTGCAAGACTATAAATTTGATTTACCAAATTAACTAAATATTAACTAATTAAGCTAACACTAAAACTAAGCAAGGAACACGAAGATTAATTAACCAAGGTAATTAAGATACTTTCGTTTAGCTTCAGATTTATTTGTTATTATGGTTGATTCGTGGAAGTGCAATGTATTATAGTTTAATTGGTTACCGATTCCTATAATGACCAAATTCGCGTTCACTCCTTTAATCCTTTAGCAAACAAGCTCATTTATACGGTGATCAAGAGGACAAATTAATTAGTTTACTAGTGTTCGGTTCGAGTTGATTAGACTTATAATTAATTGATCAGATTGGTCGTTTGAATCAATTATATATATGATTTATCGCCATATATTAGCTCATACACTTTTTACCCACTTTCCTACTTAACCCTAGGTTTCGTTCAAAACTCTAGTCCTACAATTTTGTTGGTCACAAGATTATAAGATTCAAATTTAACTAAGAAAGATGGTCATTCAAACTTAATTTAATTCAGCCATAAGTAAAGAGAAGTAGTTATCAAAAGTATGTGACTTTCTTTAATAAGCTAGATCAACAAATAACCAATATAAACTAAATCCGATCCATAAATCAACTCATAATTTAGCAAATAATCCTAGGCTAAACGAAAGTCATGAGATTTAGCTCATGATTTCAGCAAGTAAAGAAATAAAAACGAAATTCAATAGCATAGTCATGATTAAACTAAAGAGAAAATCGTAATGAGAAGTATTATTGCCTTGATGTCTTCAATTCCCAAGCTTCGATTAGTATCTTCACTTCCAAGCCTTAGTTCTGCACCTTAGTCTTCGAAATTTGTCAGAAACTTCAGCCAAAAAGTCTTTCATTCGTAAAAGAATGAGTTGTATTTATACTTTTCCCGAAATCAAAGCACCACGACGTGGTGAGGCCACCACGACGTGGCCGTCGTGTTTATCCCATGTTCCACAGGTCTTCAAAATCAATCGGGAATCTTCGAGTCACCACGCCTTGTTAGGACCACCACGACGTGTTGAGTGTATTTTTTTTCTTCATTTTAAACATTGGTTCAAACTCCTAGCTTCCGGCATCCAGCTTCCAGCTTCCTTTTTGCTCCAAGCTTATCTTTTATCCCTACAACACAATTCATAACAAATTAAGTACCTTTTGTTCTATTAAGGGTATAAAAGTAATTAAAAGTATTAAGATATGATGTATAATTATGTGTATAGATATGCACAATCAAAGAGATAGACACAAAGGTAGAAACTTTGTACCTTCTGGAGCTCCCAAAACAAATGATGAACCAAGATCTACAAGCCAATCTTGCCTCCTTGACTCCTTGATGTACAAGCTTCTCCTTTAAGGCACACAAAACACACTTTATGTAACGTCCGTGTTTTTAGGCTAGGCATTAATATTGACATAATGGTCTAGGTTAACCTTTGTAACTCATTTAGAAGAAATGAAAAGGAATTATGTGAATATTATGTGAATTATGTGTTTTATGCTTAATTATTAGGGTTTAATTAATTAAGAATAAAAATGAGCGTCAAAAATTAAATTTTAGATAAAGCCGATATCTATTAAGAAACTTGTAG